TTTTATTTTGAAAGAACACAAGCTGATCCCAGTTCAGTTGCTTTTATTTTGAAAGAACATTACGCTCATCCCAGTCCAGCTGCTTTTATTTTGAAGGAACAGGAGCTGATCAGTTTCTCACAGTTTCTCCACCAGCTTCTGGAACAAAGACAAGAGTCTCTGTCTGGTCTCCAGCTGGTCTGGGTCCAGATCTGCAGGCCTCAGGTTCTGGTAGAACCTGGTCTGAAGAACCACCTCCTCTGTTGTCATCTCAGCTGAACCTCTGGCCGCCTCCCTCTCTCTCCTGAACAGTGCTCTCTCTCTCTCCAAGTCGTCTTGAGCTCTTTCCACAAACACTCTGTCTCTATCTAGAACAGCTCTGTCTCTCTCCAGAAACGCTCTGTCTCTCTCCAGAAACGCTCGGTCTCTGTCCACAGCCGCTCGCTCTCTCTCTACAGCCGTCAGCTCTCGCTGCAGGGCGATCATGTCTCTGTTCAGCAGCGCTCGGTCTCTCTCTAAAGCGATCAGCTCCCTGTCGAACTCTGCCTGCTCTCTCTCCAAAGCCCGCCTCTCCCTCTGCAGCTCAGACAGCTTCCTGTCCAGCTCCATGGCGTCCTGCACCATGTTTCCTGTGGAGAAGCTTGTCTTGTTGGTGTTTGGTGCAGCAGCAGTGGTGCAGTCCGGCGGTAACGTGCTTCCCTTTATCACAGATTGACTGTCTGTGATTTTAACATCTGCAGGTGGTTCAACTCTGGTTCCCTCCAGGATCCCCCCAAGCCCCCCCACCCCTTCCAGACTTCCTGCTTCCACGGTGCTGAACGCAGAAAAATCCTCCTCCATGCTGTGAGGGCTGAGGGGAGGCAGGTCTGCGGCGTGTGCCTCGTCTTCATCCAACAGGGAGGGCTGCACAACGTTAGCGGTCCCAGCCAGGCCGCCGCTCATGGCCTGGTCCATCAGGTGAAACCAACGCCACGAGCTGGGTCTGGTCGAGTTCTCGATTCCCACCGGAGGGTTCTTCAGCACCTGAGTGACGGAGGAGAAGTTCACGTCAGGGTTTTCAAAACATTCTGGGTTACAGGTTCTCCAAGAGGAGCAAAGACAAATGTCAGGTCTTTCATTTTATTTCAGTTCAAAGATTTTAGAAGAAAAAACTAAATCTACAGATGATGCGGTTTTTGTTTCAGGAAAAATGCTGAAATGAGATTTGTTCCAGAATGATGGTGTGTGATGATGAAGTCAGTAGGTTGTGTTTTCTACTTGACAGCTCAACAAGCTTTGTATCTGATGAACTGTACAATCCTGTCTGCAGAAGATATGAATGAATAAATCAATGTAAACAAACTAATGTTAGCTTAGTTGTGTTGTAATGTGTATGAAACAGTTTGTGTTGGATTTAGTGTGGGACAGTTTCTTTGGCAGGTGTGTTGACATCCTGTCCGTCACTCAGACAGGAAACAGTTCTGACAGCTGACATGACTGACCTTGTACTTTTCTTTCAAGTTGTTCCATTTCTTCTTCAGCTGCCGAGCCGACATCAGCCCCTGGAGCCCCATCTCCCTCCCGATGGCCCTGCAGCACAGATCATCCCGCTGTGAATCTGCCTTTGATCTGAACCAGTGACTTTGATTTTCAGTTCAGCTCACACACCTGAGGTGGCGCACGACGACAGTTCAAGCTGTTACCAAGACAAAGATATACTTGCTTTCCAGCCGTGCATTTGCATAGACAACCTTATACTTTGTGGGCATCATTGTTCACGTGCTGGTTTTGTACTACACTTATTACTGGAGTACATGTGTGTATTACATCTTGCAGACACTGATTTCTGAAACGTGCACAATCTTCACACAAACAGGCGCGAGGCAGCCGTGACCATCCTGTTTATTTTCCTTTAGACTAAGAAATGATTTGAAAATGTTTAAAATGAGAATTTAATGAATCATAAAACAGCTAAATGAAATGAACTCATTTTAAAGTCTGTGGTGACGTTATTTCTTATAATTCCAGGAGAAGACGTAAACACGTGCATCATATGAAAAACACTTTTACTGAGATACAAACTAGGATAAATGATAAAACAAGTGTTTATTTGAACTGGTTGGGAGAAACTTTCCAGTAACCAGCAGCCTGACCTCCAGCCTCTCATGGCCGAGTTCTTCCGCCCAGTGAAGATGGCGGCGTTGGAGGCACGAAGCTGAATCATGGTCCGGATGTGTACGTCTGTCACTATGGAAACAGAGACGTCGTCAGTCTGATGTCTGTCTCCACACAATCTGTCTCACTGTTCAATTCACACAGCTTGATGAGATGTAACAGGGGCATGGACAAGTCTGGTTAAGAATGTTTGGGTTCCAGTTAAGGATGGTCAGGGTCTAGTTAAAGATGGTCAGGGTCTAGTTAAGGATGGTCAGGGTCTAGTTAAAGATGGTTAGGGTCTAGTTAAAGATGGTCGGGGTCTAGTTAAAGAAGGTTAGGGTCTAGATTAAGATGGTTGGGTCTAGTTAAGGATGGTTGGGGTCTAGGTTAAGATGGTTGGGGACTAGTTAAGGATGGTTAGGGTCTAGTTAAAGATGGTCAGGGTCTAGTTAAGATGGTCAGGGTCTAGTTAAAGATGGTCGGGGTCTAGTTATGGATGGTCAGGGTCTAGTTAAAGATGGTCAGGGTCTAGGTTA